CAGGCCATTCGGGGGCTTTATATTCTGTTGCAGTGGCGCTCGGACTCCCTCATTCCTCGGAAATCACTCCTTTTGTCGGCATCCCTCTGCAATACTTGCATTGCTTGATGCTGCTAGTTACGGCTGATACAACACTCCAACTTGGAAGACAAAGCGTTGGGACGCTGTGTGGAAGGTGAAAAGACTTCAAGAGTGGCAAACAACCGGCTTTGCAGCATTAATTCCGGATCGAACAATGGGATTTTTAAACTAAGGTTGTCAACTAGGATGTCATGTTGGGGGCTTTCTTGAAGATTAAGCGCACCGATTTTGGACTCTTCTTATGTTAATTCTCAAGAGGAAGACGGCTGCCGATTTTGCAGACGCTACTCTAATTGACGCTAACTCTCAGACCCTCCTCCCCCCCACACACACATGACTTGCTTGTGTCGTGTGCTCATCGTTGCTTTAAAGCAAATTCCCGACGGCTCTAGATCATCTTTTCTCAACATGGAAAAGAGCCTGGAGGGGGTGCCCTTTGTATGACCTGTTTCGCTGTTTCTTTTGTGACAAATCTTGCCCCACCCACCTGCCCGTCCTCAGCGTCGATCCTTATGTCGATGTCAGGATTACTCAACAACATTGCATAGTGGCGTTATAAAATATCAAGATGTTTTCAAAGAACATAAAAAGCCAAAATTGCAAAGATCATACTAGGCCATAAAACGGGATGATAAAGGCCAATTCGGGTGATTGAGGCTGCCTATGGAGGTATTCTGGGGCCTTTATTCAAGATTGAATGCTTGATGGAAGCTTTGGAATAGGCAGTGGGCTATTTGGCATTGATAACAGCGTTTTTGTGTGTCTTAATAAGACACAAGGTGGGAATACCACTTATGTCGACTTTGTGTTAGTTGCATAATCGCTTAGCGTCACAGGTCCGGGCACCTCCCTCCTTCGCGTCAAATTGACGCTAAGCATACCAAATTCGACATGGTGTTCTCTTCTTCTTGTGTTGATTTTATTGTAATTGTACAGATTTCAACGCCACAACCAGCCCCCACCCCCACCCACCCACCCAATTCCCCAACCCACCCTTTTCCTCGATTGATTAAGGTCTGAATCCATCCGCCTTGGTGACTAACGTCATCTGGCTGGGGTTTCCAAAACTGTTGTACTAGCCTTTGACACAAATCCATGAAGTGACCGTGACATGCAATGTCCAGCTGCGAATATTTGGAACTTATGTCCTTGCTGGGGAAGACGCTGGAGACGGTTCCACTGAGAGATCCTTTCCGCAGGCCCAAATTGTTGCCTTTCATCCTCCCGGTTGAACCGGCGGGAAGTATGGGAGCGAATTGTTCCTGGACCCACAATAATGTCTTCACCAGGAGAAATATGAAAAAGGCCTATTCCCAGGCAATGCTGTTTCCATTGCCTCTTTCCAATCCTTGCTGCCAGCATTAATAGTAGTCATCCCAGCAATTGGATCACTCAAATTCGTTATGGCGATTCCCATGAAGCACATTGACATCGAACTTGTTGGTGGATCCGGACTCCTCTGAGTCATCTCCACTTTCCCCACTGTTGTTGGTCATATCTAACGCCATGCGCTAATCCTCTTCAGGATTGTCATTGGAGTTCCCGTCAGGCCCCCTATTGGATGTTGTGCCAACTCTTGGGGTCTCCAACACACAGGCTCATTGGCTGCAATGTGCAATTTTGCTTTCGTTTGGCAAAATTGGCATTATTGTCCAACTTGATGTTGGGCACTGTGTGGTGACTGCAGGGCTCAACCGCTATGCCCAGCCTTCGTGCGAGTTTGCACAGCAGTAAATTTCATCCAATTCCATCCGACCCAATGGAAAGCGCTCTGTCGATTCTGTTACGCTTGGTCTCATATGGCCACATTCCAGGAGCAGGGATAGAACATCTCAGGATGCTCGCCAGGATTGTCATCATAATAATCTTGATGAAAGCTCGCCAAAGGGGTGATCCGTGGTTCTGCAACTTTTCAGCAGCCCACAGGCACGTGCCGAGGCACGACGCTTGTCGCCGGCTTGATCCCAAAGGGGAGATTCAGCACTATCACCTCCTGAAGTGTCATGCTAGACTATGGCATCCCTGCAAGCGTCAGATGACGAACACATTTCTCGCACATTGCAAACATGTGCCTCCCGCATCCTGGCAATGCGAGAACCTGGGACCCCCGCCCACCCACTTCAAAAAATGACAGCTCCGTCACACCCGTCGCCCTGCCCGTGAGTTGCCAGTGGTAACTTGCCACCCTCAAAGCAGGGTGGCCCCTGCCCGAAGCTCACCTACCTCAATTTTAAGGGACGGGCGGAGCCCATCCGCCTCGAGCTGGCGGTCGGCGGCATCGAGTTCGATGAAGAGCGAGTGGGCTTCCCCGAGTTTGGGGCGATGGTCGCCTCCCTGCCCTTTGCTCAGCTGCCCGTGGTGGAGGCAGCCGGCTAGATGTTCAGCCAGTCTCTCGGCCTGCTAATGTAAGCCGGAAGACTGGCGGGCCTGTTCCCCTCGGACCACCTGACCGCTCTGCGAGTGGAAGAGATGGCGCTGGCCCTGCAGGACGTCAACGACATCTTGAACGACAACATCATGGAGAAGGACGAGGACAAGAGGACGGCGGGGCGAAAAGTGCTGGCGGAAGGGGCGGTGCCTAGGTGGGTGAGATCAGCTTATATACGGGGCGGGAGACATGTCCACCGTGACAGCTGTACAGCTGTCACGAATATATCCATCGCTGGCCGAGTGCAGCATTGATGCATGACGTACAAAGAAAATGCCGCTGTCGGCCATGGCCGATTGGCCAATTAAGTGGATAGAGGGTGGATACACACACTCGAAAAGCCTCGCTCGCAGCAACTCCAAGCCAGTCGCGAGCAGGAGCTTTTGTTTGCCCAGGTGGCTGGGAATGATCGAGAAGCGGATAGGCAGCCGCGGGGTCGTATGCTGCGCCGGCGAGTCGCTCAGCGTGGCCGATCTGTCCCTCTACTGCTTTTCCAGTGGGTTGAGGAGCGGCGTCCTGGGCGGCACACCCGCGGCGATCATGGACGCATACCCGGCGACCTGCGCCGTTGCGGGTAAAGTTTCTGAGGACCGGAGGGTCAAGGAATGGGACGACAGTCACTGAGGGGACGGGATCAAAACCAAGGACGCCCAACGGCTGCCGGTGTGCAATAATTGATTGGACGCATTTCGAACCACCTCTCTCGGAGTTCCTCGAAGGCGTCTTCAATTTTCAAGGCTATGACAAAGTGTCACTGGCAATTGTGTAGCATGCGCAGTCACTCTCTTGGTCATACGCTGGACGAGGCGTCGGCTTGGAAGCATAGGGTATTTGCGTGACGGTGCTCACCATCAGCGACGGGAGCGCGCCCGCACCAACAAGTCATTTTCCGTGCTTTCCCCTGCATGCTTGTGAACAGGCGGATTGCTTGTGCAGCGCACACTTGCGGTGACTATGCTTCCAAACGGTAATGAGCGCCGTTGCCTTAAGACACGCTGCCCGCCTTTAAAATCGAACCGATGTTGCCAGAAAGGATCACTGTCTCCCTCATCAGGTCGGGGATATCTCTTGAACGGCACAACGGTCTGCGAAAACACACCACAGTTAGTTGGAGATCGAAACTTGAATATGCGCCTGAAGAACAGCGATATCCATTCCACTTACAAATTCAGCAAACACCCGCGTGGAACTCTGATCCATACGTCAGTCTAGGCGCCGCTGTTTTGGAACTCAATGATCCAAGCCCGCCCGCAGCAGCGAGGGAGAGGGTTACAGGTCGCCAAGGGACTCATACTTATCTGTCGGTACTATTCCGCCGACGGCTCCAAATCAATAAAGATCCGCTCAGGGAAGCAGTGACACCAGTGGCATTCGCCAAGCTCCACATTAGTGAGGTGGGATGGCGGCCAATGAGAGTCCTTTCTGTATTGCCCCGTCGAGTGACCAGCAACCACTAATGTGGAGCTTTGGCATGCAGAAATTGTTCAGAGGATATGGGTAATCATCTGTCCATCCCAAGCCCATTGCTATTCTCACATAAACGAAGGCAAATTGATGAGAACACATCATAGTCCCTCGCGATCATGACAAGTTTGGAAACATCTCATGGAATCGGCACTGCGCCACTTATGCCGAAGGACGTGCACCTTCAACGACAGCGAAAAGCGAACGTGCGGTCAAAGGTTCCCCAACTTGCCTTTTCGATGGCCATGGCTCTAATCTCGTTCCCAGAGTATACCCTTGCCATGCATGGCACGCTCTGAAGACCACAACTGCTGCGCTGTGACCAACGTGGACGGCACGAGGGCAAGTTTTGATTGCCGAGGTGTCGGTGCGTTTATGACTCTTGTGATGACCACTTCCTCTGTTCCATATTATATGCCACAAAGAATTTCTCGCATTTTTTCCATCAAAATCCCATATTTTTTAGTAAAATATCGTCCAGAGCTGTGCTTATGAGTTTGCAGTATGTGATCAAGATATCCAGTCACACTATTGAGAACTGCCGATTTGGCACCGGTTTGTATGAAGGGTTCTTTATCTAGTAAGCCTAGAATCATCCCTTAAGAATGGCCTAAAGTTGCTTTTCTCTCAACCATCAAAGGTGCCGGGTCGCTCTTTTCCTTCTTGGAATTGGTAGCCAAGGGATTTGGGACCCAATCTTTCCGGGCCTCCCTTCTTTGGGCCTCCTTCTACAATTAAGGGCGTTTCTGTAACGACCTGTGTGTTTCAAATAGACGACATTTAATGTGGGACAGAGGAGGAGTTGCTTTGATTGTGATGGAAAAGAGGGGCGGCGGTCCGAATGGCCGACTTCCGTACTGGTTGGGAGAGGGTTCCGTCTGATTAGGAATAGTAACAAATCGTGCGTTTGGGCTTATGCCATCGCGGGGTCTGCCTTATGTTAAGGTGCACAAGTACGAAGGGTGGGGGACACCGAACACCCCCAAGCTCCCCACCCCCCAGGCGACACTCCGCTCCCGTTCGCGACATGGCGCCCTCCCTCAAAGTAACGTACTTCAACTTCGCGGGACGGGCGGAACCCATCCGCCTGGCCCTAACGATCGGCGGCATCGACTTCGAGGACCAACGCCTGTCCTTCCCCGAGTTCGGCGCAATGAAGCCCTCCCTGCCCTTCGGCCAGCTGCCGGTGATGGAGATCGACGGCGAGCAGATCGCCCAGGGGCCCGCGCTGCTGCGCTACGCCGGAAAATTGGCCGGGATGGAGCCCCAGGATCCGCTGGCCGCGTTGCGAGTGGATGAAATGGTGTTGGCAATGCACGACGTCGTCGCGCTCTTCACGCCGAGCATCTTGGAGCCCGACATGGAGAAAAAGCTGGAGATGAGGATAGCCTTGGTCGAGGAGACGCTGCCCAAGTGGTTCGGCATGATCGAGAGGCGCATCGCAGGCGGCGGGAAGGAGTATTGTGCTGGGGATTCGCTGAGCGTGGCGGACCTGTCCCTGTACAATTTCGTGAAGTGGATGAGGACGGGGACGCTGGACGGCGTGCCCGCGACGATAATGGACGCCTACCCGGCGACGTGCGCCGTCGCGGACAGGGTGGCCGAGCACCCGAAGGTGAAGGAGTGGAACGAGACGCACTGAGGCGTCGGTTTGCAGAACTGGGGTGCGTGGCCTTGGGGGTGCAAGTGCCACGCGGGCGCGTTTTGAATCGGTCGTCGAGATCCAGGTCAGAGCGATTTTGCCTCCAAGCTTGACTTTGTCCCGGCTGTGTTGTTTGTAAAAGCGCGGACTTGCGTAGACTATGCAAGACGGTGTGACGTTGACGCTGACGTCAGAGACACGTTGAGCTTGTTGTTGTCTTCTCGTCCTTGTAAGTAGCTGTGTAAGGTGCGAAAGGGTCGATTCATCTGAGAAAATGAACCAACAAATTGCCCACCCTTGAAGATAACTGGCTGGAAAGCACACGGTACCCCAGAGCCAGGTTTGGATGCCAGGAGATGTATTTATTGGTGAGAGAAATCTACTGAGAAACGTTTTGGAGGATGCTGGGGTTTCGCATGGTCATCGCCTGCCCAGTGACACGCGAAGCGCAGCAGTTTGGTCGAATGGACCCGGAAAGGGCCCATGCACGATGCAAGCCCGCTACACACATTTGTGATGACTCCACCCTTCAAACTCACCAGCCCTGCAACAGCGTACAACGGGGAGATGTGGAAGAGTACAGCACAATGACTCCGCACATGCAGTTCAAGGGAGAGACACAGCAGATGGGACATTCAAAATTATGCACGTTGTCCACTTAGATTCCACTCGTCTTCACCCGTAGTTCGCTTCAATGCCCTCCCAATTTGTCTTCCATGCAACCGCAACAACCAATCTGAAATGCGCACCGCTAGCACTGCTATTGCAAACAGATCTCCAGAGCCCTCCAGCACACATGTCTACTATGGATGCTGGATATGCTGCAGAGAATGTCGCGCAGTAGTCCTGTTTGAATGCTGAATGCCCGGAAGCATTGCAATATTCGCAGGCAGGGCACAGCACTCACAGCCCATGACCAGACATGGTCCATGAAAGCCAAAGTGAGGGTAATATCTACAGCATCCTACCCAACTCAAGATTCTGATAGAGCTGTTAAATGACCTCAACAAGGAAGCGGCTCGGAAGAAATCGTTTAAAAATGTCACCCCCACAAGGCTAGGCAGTCAAATTCAAAACCAGTGCAGCTTCTGCCCCACATCTTGCGAATGAAATCCATGTAGCATTAAGCTTTAATTTATTATGTTTAGAAACATGTCTTCAGAAATTTGGAAGCAAGAGCGATGCCATTCTTGCAGCAATGGATGTGTCGGTTTAAATGAAGGCCGCCTTTCTGCTGGCGTCAGCTGATACACACACGCTGCAGCACGTCTCCCGGATCTTGGACCATCCTCCAGGACGATGCTCCCACCCGGATCGAGCTGCCGCTTGGTCTTCGACCACAATGTTCGCTCAATTCTAGTCAAAATCTGCTGCGGTCGTCCATCCTTCTCCCAATGAGAATCCGTTCTCAGGGATGCGGCCCGATTACAAATATTGTAATCGGGACACGTTTCTGGTGCATACTGAACGAACACGACACGTGTCATCCCCGGTGAAAGATCAGCTCGATCCACCGCTGCCAAAGGGCAAGACGAGCTCGCCATGCTCCGCTCCAAGTTCGGACAAAGAGCAACGGCTCCACTCAGCTCCTACTGACATACCGCGAAAACAGCGGCGAAATTCGCCACATTTGGGGGCTGCACTGGTAGTTCTTGATACTGTGCTTCAATTTCGAAGCACAACTTTAGAGTTGTGTCGATCATATTTTGAATCCTATGTGTTGGCCCCCGTTTTTGCGAATTGGAGACCGAACAATGCATTAGAACAGTGGTTGCATTTTGGGAAAGTACGAATCGAAAGCTCGGGTGGGCGGCACGGGTGTATGGAGAACGCGAATGAGCATTGGAAGAGTGGCGCGAATTCTAGGAACATGCGGCAAATGTGTGCACATGAAGGAGGGTGCGGACACAACCTAATTTTTGGAATTGTCTTTTAGCTTAGCCTCCCAAGCCTTTGGATATGATAAGGGAGTGGTACTGGGCATGAGGATGCTCCGCTACACCCTACAGGCATTCAGATGTGCGTTGCTTGTCGGGGCAGAACATGGAAAATCGATTGCCAGCTTCACTGATTCCCACGCCCTACCTGCTTCTCCACCCGACCTCTCAAAGCTCGGATACCTCTTAGTCATTAATTTCTGCTGCACATTTGGGGAGATGGTCAGCTAGGGTGAAGCATATTGAGCTCACATATTAGTTTTTCCACCAAAACATGCTCGCTGGGGCGACGCCCTCAGTTTTTCCACGTGGTGCTCCCAATTTATGCTTATGTTGACCAAGCTTTCAAGAGGTGCATAAGATTTTAGATCACAAATGGAGAACAAATCACAGCATTGTGCTGAATTCTCAGCCGTGGTCCAAAGACACGTATGTGAGTGCCTGCAATTTTCTTTGATTCGCCGGGTCAAGCAATTGCAATCAATTGAAATTATCTTACTTGGCGAAGACAACATAATTGCAATTCACTTGAAAAGCGCAGTGGGCGAAAATAGAAAAAAGGAGCAGAAAAAAACGTTATACATTTCACACAACATGTGGAAGGGTTCATCGGAACACACAAAACCTTATCTTGGGGCTGATGGAGACGTTCTCTTGGGGACATTGCAACAAGAATGCGCTAAAGGACGGCAGGAGAATGCATAAGCTTTAGCGTCATCAAGATCGTGGCGCAAATTGCAAATTTGGAATTTGGAACGTTTGAATGGACTCTTGCGAGCGCTGCCACCAGATGGCCAAACTCGCAACATTGGTTCGTGCCCACGTGCGCCGTGGCACGCCCTTGTGCATTCCAATGCGAATACATTTGATGCGACAGGTGTAGATACACAGGGACCGTTGGGGAAAAGATGCATACCCTGAATAGGCGCCAGTATCCTGGTGCTTTGGACACGATGGCACTAGCCCACAGCGTTGCTGAACCACCACCTCAAGTCAGATTGCGCAGTTGGGCAAGCGAAATGGTCCGGCGATCCCTGGACCGTATTGGGTCTCCTGAATACAAATTGGTGGAGCACTGTGCATCGAAGCGGCGCACGTGAAGTTGCTTCCGCCCCTTCGTGCATTTTGTGGGTAAACTCACTTAGGCCAGCGAGTGTTTGTACCGGCAGCCCCCGAATCCAAGGTAAGACGGCAGGATGTTATTTCCGGTATCCGTCCATTCACACGAACTTCGAGGCACCCCGGTTGCGCTCAAATTCAAGAGGCCTGCTGCTCATTCTCGTTTATGGCTTTGACATTCCAGCGCGAACAGCCCTACGGGCACTGCAGCGGACCGCCTTTCTGCGGCCTTTACCGAGGTGCGTGGACGCAGGGCTCGAGTTATCTCCGAGATCAGAGCGATACTGCAGTGGTTTGTGCTGGCCCCGTATGTTCTGTGGGGGGACACGCATATGTCTGGATCTCCTTCGATTGGGGTTCACCTTCCCCCTGCTCATCCGTAGGCAGCCTATCGTGACCGATGAGTGCTGCAGCGTAGCCGCTCTTTGGCGGCTCTGTTTCGGTGCGACCTCCACTGCCGCCTGTCGTGCCGTGTGACCAGGCATGCCTTGCTATCACGCTAGCCATAAATGAACCCAATTGTGCAGCGACTATGCATGGAAATCACGCCAAGTGTGGCGCCCAGTGCATTTGATCCTATTGCCGTGCACGTCCCACTTTCTGCAATGCAGTGCGTAACTGATGGTCTCATCGATAGTGGCAGCTAGTTGGTGAGAAAATCATGGTAATCTTGGAGCCCAGTGAATGTAGCTGTGATGCCATGTGTGCTGCCGCATTCCGGTTGGTCGGAGCACCAGATCAGTTTCCATTTGTGGCGTGAGCGCGAGGCTCTGGACAGCGGCCTCGCCATGTAAAACATTGAAAACAAAGGAAGCAGCACAACGAGTAAATCTGGCCCTTAATGTTGCCATCGACTTGATGTGCATCTCCGTGCATGCGCGAATGAAACACCAACAGACGTTGCGTTTTCCAATATTCCCTTATCTGAGCCTATCCGCAATGGCTTCCAGTGTGCTCTTGCCGCTCACGCATGAGCGCTGCTTTCTTCTTGTATTCAATACAATAAAAGAGTCACAGTTTAAGGCGCAGTTTCAAGTGGCTTGTATGCACAAATCCAAATGAAATCTTGTCCTCAAGGCTCTGTTGCATATTTGGAAAGTGGTCCCTAATCCTTGACATTCGAAATCTGTGATAAATTGCTGCCTGTATGTTGTGTACTCAGCTTGTTAACTTCATGCATGGAGATGATTCCCTCCAAAAGCAGAATGACAGTCGGATAGAGTATACCACCATCGCCTAGCGTTGATGCTATGTCCTTGTTGTACATTGGGATGCTTACCACAAGAGCCTTAAATGCAGGATTTTGATCTGTGTCTTGGGCGTAATTGTATCCAACAGCATGGAAACCACGACTAAGAGTGCTGCCCTCAAGACAATGTTCCTTTTGCTGTTTTGTACAGAGTATTATGGGGATTGGCACAGAACTTCTACATTCTATAATGATGAAACACAAGGCAGAGTAACACATGGTGTTCGATATCACCTGTCATTTTGCTGGGCGCTTGTCATGGCACCAGTTTGTGGCCCAATTGCTGCCAGGTCTGGGTTTCCCATTTTCCAACATCTGCAGATTTGCACCCTGGTTGTGTACTGCGGGACATTGCAAGGATTTGCCATTTGAACTGCAAGGCCAGAATGTGCATTTACCTTTGGAGTACCATGTTTTCACAGCCTACTATTGATGTATTGGAATCAAATAGAACAAAAGACATCAGAATGTGCCTGTAACCTAAAACCCGAACTATGCAGAAGCTGCCGCTGTCAGGTTGCAACATGTGCGGAATATCTCGCCGCAGCAGGTAGCACCACAGCTATCGAACTCATCCCATGGCCCATGTAAAATCGCATGACCTGGCCTGGCACCTTGCAGTGGAAGATGGCTGGTTGCAGCAAGGATCCAGACATATAAACAGAAGACAGTTAGGGCCGCATGTGTTGCTTACA